GAAGGAGACAGCTTAAGCTCTACTTAGAACCACAAGTTAGTTACTGCATTAGCGCTTTACTGCAAAACAAGGAAGGAGACAGCTTAAGCTGTACTTAGAACCGCAAGTTAGTTACTGCAATAGCACTTTAGTGCAAAAACATGGAAGGAGACAATTGAAGCTCTACTTAGAAACACACTTCGAAAGCAAGAGCGCAGGTACATCCAGCTGGCCAAGCTGGATATCCCATTTCACTGGTAGCTTCATTGGACACAGTCCAAGTGAAATGCTGCGTCCCACTGCAGGTCTGTACACGGTAACAGATTAAAGGTTAAACGGGGAATTCTACCTAGACGATGATACACACAGACACACACACGCACACACACTTCGACCCATGCTCGCAAGAGCTGAGTCAGTTTGGATTCCGCTCTAGTGATTACATTACCGGTTTAGAGCGCTGAAGCCGGATACCTGAGAAACAGCCCTGAGAGGGAACGGCAAGGTGACTAAGTCCGAAACAATTTTGCTTGTATGATTTGATTGCAGCTCCACTCTAGTGATTACATTACCGCTTAGTGCGCTGGGCAACTTGAGACCTGAGGTGAGGTGGGGGGTGTCTTCGATGGGCGGAGATCCGCCCCTGCTTATCTGTACAGCTTGAAACCTAGAGGGATTAAGGTGGAATTAATGTGGTCGCGCTGCTTGGAAGCAGGAGTTGGCACACACACATAGCCGTATCGGCCGTATCGGCGCTCCCTTGACTGAAAAATTGACCTGAAGCCTAAAAAGCCTCTAGCAACGAAGGAAAAGACGAAACAACGAAGGGGAGAAAGCAAGACCGTGCATGAATTATATATTCAGTGTGAAACTTCCACGTGAATCCATTAGTTGCATGACGTGAAAGAAACCTAAACTACGCATGAAGAGCCTCTAGCAACGAAAGAAGACCGAGAAAACGAAGACAAACAGCAAGAAAGAAAACAAGAAAACATCAAAGTGAATACACTAGCCGCTGAGTGAAACGTACAAGTGATTACATTAGCAGCGTGGCATGTCATTCTTTTGAGTATATGTCAGTGAGCCCTGCGGCAAATGAGCAGCAATCTCAATAAAGGACGAATGGCCGGTAAGGATCAAGCAGAGCTGAAAAGCCTGTGAAAAATCACCCTTAAGGGTCTATGCTCAAAGCGCCCCGAAGGGATCACACAGCACACCGCAGTGGGACGACGCTGCGGCACACACTTCGATCCATGCCCGCAAGAGCTAAATCAGTTTGGAACTCCGCTCTAGTGATTACATTACCGGTTTAGAGCGCTGAAACCCGATAACTGAGAAACAGCCCTGAGAGGGAACGGCAAGGTGACTAAGTCCGAAACAATTTTGTTTACATCATTTGAGTGCAGCTTCACTCTAGTGACTACATTACCGGCTTAGAGCCCTGGGCAACCTAATAAGTTAATAAGTCCGAAACAATATTGTTTACATTTGAAATTAAAGGAAAATGCCCAGGTACGTTTACACCCAGTTGGGGGGTGTCTTCGTTGGCCGGAGACCTCCCACCTAGCTCCGGCCCCCTGCTTATCTGCACAGCTTGAAACCTAAATGGATTAAAGTGGATTTAATATGGTCGTGCTCCTTGGAAACAGGAGTTGACACACACACACACACAACCAGTCGTTCGGAAAAGGCAGCCAAGTCGATGTATGTGCGCCACGTCCTTCCAAATCGACCAGAGTAAGACGATATGTTCAGGAACCAGAGCCTTTCGGGACTAATGTTTCAGTTTTTTGTGTTTGCTACGCCCTTTGTGACTATGTTCTGGTAAGTTGGCATTTCTTTTACAAGTTTGATCGGCAAAACAACATAAGAACCTTGAAAGAACGGCATGACTTGGTTGGAATTGTTTCATTGGTTGCCTAATTTTCCAACAAAAATTAAAAACAAACATGAACAGGAGGCTTGCAGCCGGAGACCACGCTCATGGCTGTGAAGAAGATGTGGAACAAAAACTCTTGGGTCGTGCGTTCTTCCACTGTTTCCAGGTGTTTCCAAGTGTTTCCAGGTGCTGGCAGTATGACCTTAACATTTCGATCATCGGTTTCGTCAGCTCTTTCTGGCCACGCTGCGGTGCCCATCGGATGTTCTGCCATATGCCCCAGGGCTGTCCGGAAACACTGGCATCTTTGCCAAAGCCTGGGCATCCCTTACATGCCGCAGGCAGGGCTTGGACAGATGATCAGCTGAAGTGAGATTACCCTTGTACTTGCAAGCTGCTATGGCAACAGTCTTTGGGTTTGTAAGCAAGGGGTGTGTGGGGGGGGGCGCAGGCCGAGGAGGCCCTCAAGCGCTTCCAGAAGGCTACAGAGATGGGGGAGCTCTTGAGGCCATGGGACAGGAAAGGGAGCAAACTCGCTAACAGGGCAAACGGGCAAAGAATCAATGGGACACCTGTGCTGACTTACTGCGTTGACTCAGTTGTCATCATGAGCCGTAATTGTGAGTCAACGAGTCTGTTGTTCCTTTCCAGCTTTCCTGTCGTGACCACAAGACTGCCAACCAATCGCCAGTTTTTCAAGTATCAAAGGTTGGTAGGGTTGTTAGCCGTGTGGAATCCTTCAAATCTCCTTGACGCGCTCCAGCCACAATCTGACGATATTTCTTTAGGGAGCCAGTATGAAAAGATGTGCAGCACTGCCTGTCACTGAACATTTGACACCACTTACTTGCATCGATATAAAACGCAGACTATATAGTTCTTATTTTGCCAGCCTTGTCCCCATATTCCAGGTGGCGGTCCAGGTTGGATTATACCTTCTGGTTCCGAAACATGTCGGATTTGTGGTTGTCCGGTTGTTCTTTCTTGCACAAGTTTGTGGAATCACAGTGGCCCATAGGCTCCATTTGCATAAACAGGCACGTAAGACTCAATTTGTTTGAAAACAAACAAATATTCCAATGACACAGTGTTGAGGTTAAGTATGCAGCCTGTCACAGGTGCCATGAAGTTCCTGAGCTACCTGCAACCAGGCACGAGTTGGTTGGGATAATTTACCAGCAAGTCATTTGGATGCAGGTGAGGAATGATAAGCCAGCTTCGAAGGTATGTTACAGTTTTCACATGTTTGAGAAACGTACAAGACCGATCTTGAACTTATACCTGTTGTGTTGTTCTGTGTCATTTGTGTGAGTCGAGCAACCTGCGTCAGTCTACCAGCCTGCCTGCAACTTTACAAAGCATCACTCATCACTATTTCTTGTTGCTGTAACCTCAGACTTTTCAGCTTGTCCATTTGTTCACTGACTTTCAATAGTCGATCTTTCTATCATTTTCCAGGAGGTTCTGGGTCCAGAGCGTCCGGTCCTGTTCCGGGTTCCCTCTGCCGGGTTCCCGTTCCTGGCAGATGGCGTTTGACCTGGTGTGCTCCAAGTGAAGAGCATCAGGTGGAGGTGAGACTCTCGGTGTCTGCCGTGGGAAGACTCGTGGCGAGTGCCCCAGCTCACGCCTCACTGGGTCCCGCTGTGGCAGCAAAAGATAACTAAAGATAACATAAAAGACCATAACTACAAGACCCCTGCTGGGCCAACATATGCATCCATCTCTCTCTCTCTCTCTATGTAGCTAGAATATTCTTTGGACATCATCACAGTTTACATGGCCCAGGCTGTATGCCATCATTTTGGTTTCCGTCGGAAAGGATCAGTGGAATCGTCGATTTCACTGCACAAGGCACAAGGATCCTTTGACCCTTTGCGTATCAACGCACGTGCCAAAAATCCTCTCCTGTTTCTAGCACAGGTGGCACCTTGTAGCCAGGCCCAGGCAAAAACGGTCCCTTCCAATCAATGAATTGTGGATAAATTACAAAAAACTAAAAGGATGACCCAAATGACCCAAACAAATCAAGGTTTCTGTCGCGTCGATTGACATTGCATGTCCTAAGCGTCGGTGATTTGCCACTAGGTTGGTGATTTGCTCATCACGCATCCTTTGTCGGGGCTCTTCCAGGACGCGTGCGGGCGGCCCAAGAAAGTTAGGCAAGGCATTAACCTCCAAGAAAGCATGAGCATGGGTTTTTGATTGTTTCTCTAGCAGAGTTTTTGGGAAATTAGGGCAGCAACTCCAGACTAGACAGAAGAAGCATCGTGCATACCGCCTACAATCAGGTGATAGAGAAGTGCAGGATAGCAGCTAGGAGGGAATGAGGGAATGACTTGTTCTTTGTGGGTCATTGACAGAGTCAGAAAGCATCCCAACAAGTCAGAAGTGTATAGTCAACAAGCGCAACGACCCCTGCTTGGGGCTTCTTGTGGCAGCGAAGTTGCCAGGGATCCAAAGGGCACATTTCTTGGAGCAAAATTGAGGAACCTTGCCGCCAATTTCTGCTTGTTAATTGCGCCCAAAAGACGGTCGCTGGTCCAACAATTACTCATTTCACTGCCTAAATATCCCGATGGTTGTGGGTGATAGCGGGGATTTCCCAAAGTGCAAGTACCGTGGTGAGCTGTTGAGATGAGGAACCTACACTTGGAATTCCAAGAAGCATGGTGGCAAGGCCCTACAGTCAGCTTGCAAATCCTCAGATTGACCAAGTCCTGAACGCTTGAGGTTTGACCAGGGAGTGCTCTTGGTGGTGAAAGTCAACCAGGTCAGCTGCACTGGTTTGCTGGAATGTCGGAGGGCATACAGGCTTCCAAGTCAGGAGTGGACAAAGATAGGTTCCAACGGACCTATGGAATTTAGTTTTGACATTGATCTCCTCTCATGGAACTAGTTGCTGCAAAAAAGCTCACGTGGCTGGAGACCGAAGGACCGGAGACCGAAGGCCGAAACCAATGGACATCAAACGACATCGGAATACAGATGTAAAAACATGTATATAAATAGATCCGATGACCAAACTTTCACAAGAGTACGATTGCAAGAGGACCGGACGACCACCGAAAGACGACCCCCATGAAACTCGGGACCGCTCCATCGCGGCAGGAAGCCAAGTTGATCCAGGCCTTGGTGCTCAACAAGGCGCCTGGGGCCAGTACTGTGCCAAACCCAAGCACGCAGAAGCGCACACACAAGTTCAGATGTACATACCTGCCAACTGATGTCAACAGCAAATGCTAGAAATATTCCTTTACCCAGACTGCAGTTCTTGTTTAAACGAACTTGAAGACTGCGATTTCACATCACATGAAGCGTGTTATGTAGCAGCTGAAAGCGTTCAGTTTCACAACAGATAGCGGCTCTTTGTAGGCAAAATTGGGCCCAAGTCATAGAAGTAGCAGCTTCTCCGATGGCATATGAGGAGAGGCACTCACTACCATATACCTTTGAAGTCAGGGTCCATGCCATGAACGGACAAAGCTTCCAGTTCTTTATGGACAAGTTTGCCATGATTGGTGATGTGAAGCAGAGGCTGAGTGCGCAGTTGGTTCGGAAGTTTCACGAAATGAAGCTGGTCTACGATTCCAACGAGCCTGACATGTTTGACAAGGTCAGCAATTACCGAAATAGCCGAGGTGTTGTTGAGCTCACCCTTGTCATGAACCGCATTTGCAGGTGGTGCAATGTGCCCCTCAATGAGAACGAGCTCGGTGATTTTTGTGGAACACCCTGCTATGCCATCATGCAGCGTGAGCTGCAAGATCCCGAAAGTTTGTTCGTGCTCTTCGGTGTGAGCGCCGACATCGGCTTGAGTACTTCACTGCACTACGCAGAGCCTTGGGAGCACCAAGCCTACTGAGCGACTGTCGGGACCTGACGACCTGACCTTGCAAGAATTCGGAAGTCGCGCCCGCGGCTTCAGGGCTGCCAATGTCAAAGACACGAATGACACGGGCCTGAGCAGGCTGCGATGTTAAAAGAGGCGCAGATATCCATACTGTCGACGGACAATGTCCACAGTACCTCATAGGGTGTCTAAAGAGGCGCAGGCTTCCTCCCATCAACATTAGCAGCATGTTCCCTGCCGGGTCGCTGGAACACTACATATTTATACATATTTACGATTCAACTTTCACAGGCCTTGCACACCGAACCCAGAGAAACATGAACTATTTGCACGATTCGATGGAATAGCAAGAAGACCTTACTGCTAGCTTGGGGTGATAGTGTGAGAGGAACCTGAGCCATCTTGGCTCTAAGTAGCAGGATGAGATGGACTAACAGCATAGCATCATATAGCATCAAGCGTGTGGGCCTCGATACCAATCGAGAGGACCTAGCAGGTTTCTAGTACCGAGGACGTTTTCGTGGAGCTCCTAACGAATTTGTCAATCTGCTTTAGAACTGAACATTGATCTGTGATTCGTGCAAGGCCTCGGAGGAGACCCTGGCCGACCAGCCTTCAGCCAGGCAGAAACAGGAATGCGGTGGAGTGCTCTTTTAATCCCTTGTAGCTGGCTTGCATCAAGACAAATCATTCCCGGCGTAAGTTCCGGCAATGATCCTGAACTCAACTGCTTTGTGTTTACAGCAACCTGATGTACATATATATATATATATATTATTTTTTTACGCTCTATGAAATTCTTGTACCCATTGGGCAGGCCCGAACAAGGCACTGGGTTTCTTGCTTCTTGTTGCCAGGGGAGCACGGCTACCGAACCAACCCATTTTTCGAGGCAGGGAGCTTGGAGCGGCTGCCAGGACCAAAGATTAGCACATATGCCTTATGACTCTTAAAGGTAGGAGAAGATGGCTACTTGATGCTACTTCTAGATGTATTCTTTCCTGCCCCAACAAGAACGGTCAGTTGTTGTCTTCCAGTGGCCCAACAAGTCCATGTCCGTGCCAACGCAGAGAACCGAGACAGATACAGATAAATAAATCGCTGCTTGCGGCCGGGGTGGACCCGTAACGAAAGGCGACGCTGTTTGGCAACCTGACCTTGCGTACCTACACTGTTGCTTGGCACCTACTAGCCTGACGCTGTTTGATGCGGTCGCTAGTGTGGAAGGAACCTGATCTCTGTCCGACCCAAAGCATTCATCGTATTTTCATTGTCATGTAGACCATCGAACTACCTTCCAAAGCATCCCAAAGGAATTAAACAATAAGCAACAAGAACCGTTATTTAAAAGGGGTCAGTACAAAACACGAGGTTTTGATGAACACTATTGAACACTGGATGTTTTTGAATAATAATTTGTTTCAGGATGTTTCACTGACCCCTTCTCATCCTGTCCCACCATTCCGCTCACAGCAAATCATGAATTCAGGCTACGTGCTACTTAATTTATCAAGCTTGAACCCATGGGAAAATATAAGCAACCAACATGATTGTGTTTTCAAATGTGTATAAGCCAACAAACAATATGTAATGAGGTTGCTCGGTTAGTCAGCGTGAATGATTGAGAACCTCTTTCTTCCAGCTGTTCTTGCATCGCTCAATATTAAGGGTGCATCCCCTGAGCATGGAAAACCTGTCTATGGATCTAGGTATACCAAGTTTTATAGCAAAACGTATACAGTAGTCATAGCGCAATCCTTGAATTGTTCAATCAGTGTTCAAACGTGTGAGACTCCAATTTGGGTCTGAGGGAGCCAAGGGAGCCAATGCCTGAAATGCAATTGTATTCAACCTAAGAGCGATGGCCTCCAACCTACTAGCGATGGCCTCCAACCAAATAGCAATGACCTCCAACCTACTCAAACAAACAACAAACATTCAAGGCCGTGCATCTTCATGCTGTGCACATTTATACGCACATTTCAGGCCTTGCGTTGCCAATTCCAGCGCCCTGAACTGCAGCTTGATATCACTTGAGACTCTGTAGGCGCTGTAGAGTACCATCTCACTTGGTGCGGACCACAGCAACTCATCACATGTTTAGGAGTACTTTCATTCACTTCCTGGAACTCTACACGTGAAATGCGCATCAGACACGCAAATCAGTGCTCCAAGGTCAAGGGGACGCACTTGGGACCACTCCGCATCGAAGCTGCATTTTGTGCACACGGGGATTGGGGAGTTTCGTCAATTTCTATATCGACTGGTCTTTTTGGGGGGCAGGTAGGCCATTAAGAGTCAGGAGGTAGCATCACTTGAAACTACAAGATGCAGGGATTCATGATCGAGCAGGTTCCTAGATGTCCAGCAAATTATATATGTATATAAACCAATCGTGTTGTATGGCAGTTGTTCCACTCTTGTGTGTGCCGATCAACATCCAAGAAGGCCTTTTCTACTTCACTGTTGACATCTATCGACATCTCATTCCATTTCACTAATACCATTGAGATGTCATGGGATTCCATGCAGATAACATTTTGACAGGCTTCGCCTGGGCCTTTGCTCTGGTGGAGACCTGGGACAATTGCAGACTCCGTTGCGCTTCTTTAAGGAGTGCCGTGTTCATTCATTTTGAGCTGGTGTTCAGTCTCGGACAAACAGCAGCACCATGACCCCAATTTGTCCAACTGTTTTTCATCAGGGCCCATTTTGTTCTGACCTCTATTCTCCACAGTCATCAGATAGGCACATGAAAAAGGCAAGAAACCACGTGAAGCTTGAAGCACAGCATAGTATATTATATACAATAATTCTACATCTAGACTTTTGGACTTTGTGAACTGCACCTGTCCCCTGGAACTTTGAGACCTTGAGATGTTCAGACCTGTTTACACACTACCTGTTTTGCTCAGACAATTTGTTCACTTAGGCTTCTTCAGGGCAAGTGGCTTTCAGACCGTACGTACGCATTTTCCCAAGTGCGTCAAGCGACAAGATGTCTAAAGTCTAAAAGTGTCGGCCGCATGTCGAACGGTAGCACTGCGGAGGGATGCGCTGCATGGGCCACAGAGCAGCTGAAGATCGAGCTGGAGCGTGGGGTTTGGGTACATGCTCGACCAGGCCCAGAGTTTTAAACAGGCATAACCTATGTGAGAATTTTGTGAGGGATGGTGATTATCTTCCAGAATTTTCTAATATTTTGAGTGAACTTGGGTTGATGTGCGAAGGACGTTGACAAAAACACTATTATGTTGGTTTGGTGAAGAGTAAGATTCACTAACACAACTACGTTGCCTGTGGTGGACCCATCTAAATGAGTTGGGGTTGCCAATTCAAGAAATTATTGCGAAAACACATTCTTTACGCGGAAACACTTTTGTTGCTTACAGGCTTCCATCGCGGAGGCCAGGAAGCGCTTCACGGCTTGGCCTTGGAGGCCGATCTCGGAGCTTTGAAAATTAACCCCTAGTAGCGTCCTTGTTCCTAGTAGCGATGCCCTTTTGCTCCTAGTGGCTCCTCTACCTCTCTTTCCTTATCTATTTGGAAACTCTCCGCTCCGCAGCTTTCTAGTTGGACTGCACTTCTAGCTGTTCGTTTGTGAAAGTTTTAGAGTTTGTGGAAGACTTGGATTTCAGGGAAACTCGTTCAGGAAACTCGTTGCCCTCAAAGGACTCAAGCAAAGCCAACCGTTCTGCGCAAAAACCATGTTTTTCGTTGAAAAGGCCTCAGGCAGCTTTGCCTGGCGTGCAGCACTGATGGCTGCGGGGCTGCCAGCGACCCTCGTCGTAAAATCATTGGTCGGCCCTCAAGGTGCGAGACCCTCCTGGCACTACGATCGGACGCTACTCGGGGCTCCTGGCCTTACTACTAGGAACAAGGACGCTACTAGGGGCTCCTGGCATCGCTACTAGGAGCAAGGAAGTCTCAAGACCAAAACAATTCTTTTTGGCACTGTTGACGAAGAAGAGGAAGAAGAAGAAGAAGAAGAGGAGAGGAACAATACTAAACCAACAAAAGGGAAAACGGAAAACACAATTCTGTGTGACATGCCACCTATCGGTAGCATTACAACTTCTTGGCACCCAAGGCGACCCATTACACTATTCATCATGCAGCTAGATACCGTATTTTGCAAACATAATATGTTTTCCATCATGGCATCTATTAATTTCGGATTGAACTTTGTTCAAACTTCATCGCTTGCACACAGCAGTCAGATTATAATTGATAAACTTTGACATGGGTCAGGGGCCTGAGTCAGTCAGTCTGAAGATCCTGCCAGAAGGGAAGAGGTAGCCTTTCCTCAAAGCCATGCCAGCCATGAATGGTCGCATTTGGCCACATGCGATCTAATGGCCCAGGTTGGCAACCTTTCCTCGAAGCCCAGAAGTGGACGTGCAGTTGAAGGAGCAACATGAAAGTCCGTGGCGGTGCGTTCTGAGCAATATGATCAGGGAGACATGTTATTTCAAAATTCGTCTCGCTCAGCAAACCAAAGGAAGTTTTATTCGTGCGAGTTACCCATCCTTTCTTGCCTGGCGTCAGGAGTATGTGACCGCACACCAGCGGAGATTGGCCATGGAGATGCATCAGCTGCACCAACAAAAAGGGACCCTCCGAACTGACTTCCAAGCATCCTTCCGAACCATCTCCATTTGTGTGCGGTTAGCCTCAGGTCCTTGGGTCTGCTGAAAGTGTTTAGGTTGATGGTGACATTATCATTTTTGCACCTTTCAATGACAATGCAGAGTGTCCACAATGGAGGAACAGGCAAGGTGTGAAGTATCCTCAAGTTCAACTTGAATGAAATCCTGCCTAAGTGGTTGATGTCTAAAATAGGACCCCACTTCACAGTTCTTTACACTGCTGACCAGCTACCAACAGTCACACGAGCTTGCCAAATCCATCGGGACCCAGAGCTTGCGGCAGGGCCCAGCACCGAAAGGTTGGAATATTTTGAATGGTGTTGGTGCCATTTCATCCTCTCATATATGAAACAACCGCGGCCA